GACCGTTTCACTCCGTTCTTTCGCCATTTCCCCACTATATAGCGCCCTACTAGCATTTTAGGCTAAGTAGGAAACCATCGTGCCAACTGCCTTTAATTGTGATTTTGCCTAGGTCATACATGGAGTGCAACAGGAGGAAATAATCTTCGCGTAAATATCCTTTAAAGAAATCGAATTTCTGAGACAGATCACAGGCCCAAGGGCGTGGCTGGGAGCATCAAGCGTCATATTTTAGTGGTGGACGAGCCCGGATCGTATTTGTTTTGCTGGGAAGGACGTCTGAAAATATGTGAACTCTTGTCATCATGAACTCATATTTCAAGGGTTCCAGGCAGTTGTGTGCAGTTCGAAAAAGTACTGAACTAACAATGAATGGCGCATCGTTGAGAAGTATGTTCGACGGATCCACGAGGACATCGGTAAGTATAGTATTTTCGATCGATTTTTCAGTTCTTCGTTTACTTTTCGCATATTCATCCATACCTTAAAGGCAGCGCCCGCGTTCAATTTGATCAGTTATGGGGCTCAGACAATTACAACAAGGTAGCAAGTAGTTCATTAGTGAAGAAAAATGCAAAAAATCATCGGATATGCCTTATATAGGACCCCACGCCGAGATGAGATTGTACGTGCTTAAGGCGAAGAGAAGGCGCGGCCGCACGAGTTCTCACTTGTTGGTATCAGCTGTTTTCCCTTATCACCTCACTCTCACCATTCGACGTGGAGAGAGTTAGTAGCAGAACAACCGCACCATCAGGCAACCATTAGAAATGAAGTTGGGCGTAGTGGTCGCCAGGTGGGCGGGGTGGCCGACTCTTCACGAGCGGGCGCCGCTATTCTCTCGCATTTTTAGGTGTAGCGAAAATTAGCACGTTCACCATCCTCATCGGGTGAGCTTTACGAGTATCCAAAGACCGATGTTGCGGAACAACAATATGAACGCTCCTGTAAGTGCGATTGCCGTTTTGTGGTGCGGTGGGTGGTTTTTTGGCGCTGCCTTTAGGGCACAAGGAAGAAGCGTCCTTTTGCGGCCCACTTCGTCTGTTTGCCGATACTCCTCTCTTTCACATTGCTGTCTTATTGGACTTCGCATCATCGGACACGCCGTCGTTCGCCTCCTGCAGCCACGCCCCTTGGTTAGACATTCAAGATATGGACTCGATATTTTGGCTAATGGCGGCGTGGAAGTTGCGTACATGAGACGCTTTAACTGTAGACGGGCGTCTTTACGTGCCAGTTCCAGCTGCATTTGAGGTCGCAGATCTATGGCGTAAAACTTGTTTGAGATACTTTCTAGCAAAGTTGACCGTCACGGCGCCGGCAAAGCCTCGCCATTCCAATGGTTTTCCTGCCGTGGATATGTCGCGCACGTGACATCATTTCCAACGCCTTTTCACCTCCTTCGCTGCGACTCCGATGTGTTGAATATCTCTCACCCACACGCGGTGGCTGGGGCAGCGACCTCATGCTTAGGCAAATTCGCAGAGGAAGTTGGTTCTGCTGGCCGGAGAAGCCTGTACGCGCAGACAGAGAAAGAGGACAGCGATTGCCAGAGCATTGAGGGGTGCAAGGGGACATTGGCATACCAGGGAATGGGGGTTCTTTAAGGGAAAGGCGACTGTGGTGGGTGAGGCTGTGAGTGATGAGGGCGGGCCGTGCTTGGCATAGGTGAGGCCACAGTGATCGTAGAACGCCAAGTAGACGAGAGAGCGCGGACAGGAGCAGAAAACTGACCTGTTGAAAGGGATCGAGTTCAAGCTGTCTGTAAACCGGGTACATGGCAAGAGAATCGTCCGCGCTGAAAGGCGCCGCGTGCAACGTCGCGCCAGCAAATGGCGATGGTTCCACCTTTTAGATGGCGACAACAGGCAATGAGAACTAGAAATAGCCACAAATGTCTACGGTTCGTAGCCCTGTGAAATCGGGTGCTCCAGTCGAAGCCTAATACGGACTCAGAAAACGCCGCGCCCATCGCCGCCCGGCTGGAGCGGCAAATTACGATTCTTGCCCCGTCTTCCATGTTGCTCCAGTGGCGCAACGGCCAACGAGCTTGCCAGCGATTTGCCGCGCCACTATGCTCATCATGTTCGTTCGGGACTGACCTTCATTACTGAGCCCTCTGATACAGTTTCAGGATCTCGTGTTTGGGAAGTTCCACAAAGATTATGAACATTATGCGAGCGCAACTACCGGCAGTGGCTGATTTCGTGAACACGACATTTGACGAATTTGCATTACTTAACCAGGAAGAGAAGGTATTACCTACACCCGATTGTTTTCATTCTTCAATCATTTTTTTCCGCTTCCAGTGGGCCGTATTCCAAACATTTCTCACTACACTCTGGACTATGGATTCGTTCTATCGTACTTCCCGTCTGGTCCCTCCTGAGCTGTACAGTACCGTGTAAGTCCTTAGTGTACCTTGGCAACTGTCTCGGTCTCGTCCCCTTGATCTGCACACTACGGTAGGACCCACATCAGGTCACCTTAGGAACCCAGGGTGCGTGCTTGCAGGAAATGTGACCGTGTGTACACTCTATATCCTGGAGGTGGGTAGGGCGTGGCTGCGCACTTCACTTGAACATGGCGTGGGAGGCGTTTCCCGTAGGGTATTTTCATTTGAAACAATTGTAATCCTTCCTTATGCTGGCCAATTAAATACACGAAGCAGCAATGTCCTTTCAAAGCAAAGTCGTCACCACGTTCACCAAAAAACGCAGCCAAGCCCTCCCTTTATGAGATATGTATATGGAATGTGATTCCCGAGGGGAGGGAGCAAAAAATATACAGTTGTTTTCGCTGCAAACGCTGGGGCGTGTCAGGAGGGGGAGCCGGGTTTGGCGCGACACCAGCCTATTCTCCATCAGTTGTCCAAGCGTGCAAACGAGAACAGTTGGTGGAAAACGGGCTACCGCCACGCCAAACGCAGCCACTTGGCAGGCCTCTGCGCCTGCAGAGGAAACGACTATACTCTTCGAATGACAATCATCGGCAAAGTCTCCTACATCAGAAATCTAAATGAAATATTTTTGAAATATAGCGCCATATCCACACGCAAGCCCTCACTGTCCTGGCCTTGAACTTATCCCTTTACTTATTCCATATTCTATTTCATTTTTATATTTTTCGTCACATTTGGCTGTTTAGGAACATTATCACAGAAACGTTATACATGGATGGAAATCAAATGACTCACTTCTTTGACGACGCTCCTCCCAGTAAATTGAGCCGAGAGGATCTACAGAAGTAAGTTTTTGCTAGGCTGAGTTCGCTGGATCATCTGAAACCTTGGAACCATTGTCGAGTTGAGCTCGTAATTTCACTTTTCCCTTCTTCTTCTTGGCTCCAGCTCTTCTTTCATTTTCCCGGCATTCAAGGCTTATAAGTGCACACTTCGCAACAAGCCTTGAAAGACTTCGTATGTGAGGCAGGGGTGGATGTGGGGACAGGGTACAGCATGGGGATGTGCGAAATGGCGGTGTGAGTACGACCCCTCCCCCTCGAAGAGGGTCCAGTTACGACCCCCCCCTCCTGCGGCTAATGCCGTTTGGACTCCAGAAATTTCGGCTCCGAGCTCATTTTCAAATTGCCTAAGTCACCAAATCCACTAAAAACTTGTATATAGGGGTAATTCAACATCCTGATTACGAGTATGACACTCATTCTTGGCGCTGGCGCCAAGAGAGGACACTACGATTACCTCCTGGGCTCAGCCTTAGCAGAGCGCAGGTAACCGTAGTGTCATCCATTAGCGCCAGCGCCCAAAAATGAATGTCATATTCGTGATCAGGATGTTGAATTACCCCTATATACAAGTTTTTAGCGGATTTGGTGATCTTGCCACTTTTAAAATGAGCTCGGAGCCGAAATTTCTGGAGTCCAAACGGCATTAGCCCCTCCTGTTGTAACTGACAACCAGATGCATGTTCACCACAAATGGCTTCCTGAAATGGAATCTGGATTTTTGAAAGGCGGACTCTGCTCTAAAATCCAGGCAATAATAGGCTGTTTCAGCCTCATGCAATATGAGGCTGAACAACAGCCTCGCATTACCTACAATTTTGTCTTAGGATTCAAAATAAAACTCGTCGTTCGACAACCATGTATGACATGCAACTTGTAACAAGGAACACAATCGAAACAGCGACTAATGGTGATCATTGATAAGCTAAATTGGTGAAAAAATAGCCCCAAGGTCAGCGTGTCAGGGCCCAGATGTGCATTCAATGAACGGGAAATCATGAAAACATGCACGACACAACAAAGCGAAACATGAAAAATACAAAAAATGCAGAGCCAAATGAAAAAAATGGATAACCAGGCGGCAGTATATCGTTCTATACTTGGCTATTATCGATCGCAACGTTGCGACCGCTTTCATTGGAAAAACGTCATTGGAGCGCGGTTGTTGGGCCTGCCAACGTCCTGGGGTCTTTTCGGGGGGTTATATCTCTTTGAGGGGCGCGGCTTTTGATGAATGGTTAGCAGCATGCAACGGGAATGTTCCTACTGTTGCGTTTTCTACCCAGTTGCAATCTGAATGTTTCCCCGTTCGTGAAATATTTCGGATGGGTTTCGGATCGGCTAGGGGTAAATGGCGGCAGCTTCATCAGGATTGAAATCGTCTTGAAACCGCCCTATCTTTTCTCTTTCCAATAAGCTTTACAGTTTTTCTGAAGACCCACTAGTTCAGGAGATATTTTAGATGGGTCACAGACGCGCTACCCTCTGACCCACCCGAAAAATCGACTCCTTCTGTGCCATTGTGAGGATACACCTTCGGAAACTTCAGTGTGCCTTCAAAACACATATTTCCCTTCAAATGAGTGAAAGAGGAGCTCGGCTATCACTGATCGATTTGGTCCGAGTGTGCGCCGTGCATTACGCTCCTACGCAGAGGTGGTGGAAAGGTGTTCTGATTTCAGGTGCTTTTATCCATGCAAGCAGATTTGTTTAGGTTTGGAAAGGACAATACGCACGAATCTGTTTGAGACGTATTATTTAGTCATCTACGTACTTACGAGTTCATGCTATTAACTGATATTTATTTATTTATTTATTCTTGCTATTCTTGCTATATTGCTAATAATTTTTTTTTATTATTTTGTAGTCCTATTTACATCCGGGTCTTCTGCAGCTTTCCGTTCCGTTCCATCAAACTTAGCAATGACACTTTTGTACTGTTTGATGCCTAGCGAGCCTACTTTTGCGATACTCCCCACGTCCCCCCAGCGGCCAAGTACGATCCCCTTTCTGGGAATTTCCATGAAAAGAGGGCTGTTAAACGTAGCAGTTAAATCTGTAAAGAATACACTCATAATAATTTCATTTTTTTTTAACATCTTGACTTCCATAGCTCCACTCCCACTATCAACTGAAATGTCGAAGCATTGCCCGGCTCTGAGTGACCCTTGAGATTACGACCCCCCCCCTCCCTCCCCAGCGGCCAAGTACGACCCCCTATGGGTTTCGCACAACGATGCTGTACCCTGTGTGGGGATGGAGGAGGTTTGAAAAGCAGAAGTGCCTGTGCTGATTGACCCACACATGCGAAAAAAAGCAGAGGAAAGCGTCAAAAATGCATTCTCTTTGTGCCAAGCGAGAGGCGAAGATTTCTGAATATTTGGGCGAGAGACCAGACAAGAGCAGCGAGAGAGCACACAAAAAAGCAAAACGACAAACCCCAACGCGGGTAGAGTCACTTACGCTGAGGAGGAGCCACTTGAATAACCTTGTGTATTCTTGACTTTACCTTACAACCTTCTGACGCGGAACTGAGAGTTCGTCCATTAAAGGCACATTCCGCGATAAAATAAGGCTATGACCTCTCAAATGTGTCGGACGATCCGGAAGGCGATTTTTGAGGCTGCGCTACTTTCAAAATGTGAAAAACGGCAAGAACTCCGCTAGAAGCTGACTAATTAGGCCCATGGACACCCCTTAGGCCCATGCCGACCCTCACCGCTGCTAGCTACTAGCTAGTAGCCACTATGTTATCTTTCTCTATAACATTTCGGACTGCTTTTTCTGCTGCTTTTCTCCGCTAATCAGATACTTAGCACTTTTTTGTGCCTATTTGAGTTCCGTTTCCCGCAATTTGCGGTCGCGAACTGTGCCTTTAAGGCCAATTACTAGCCTACCCAACGCATCGCTTTGTTTCTTTGGTCAGTCGCGAAATATGCTTTTACTTTGATTTCGCTCTTCACTGATTGAAGTAGTTGAAGAGGCAACGCCAACAGTTCTTGTTTAAGGATGCTGAAGGAGTGCTTGTCTGATAGAGAACGGATGTGTACCCTTGCTATTATGCAACATCTTGAAATCACTGAAGCCGAATACGCAGCCCTCCTCGGTCTGGCTTTATGGAGTCCAAGTGAGTCATTCAGTCTTCAAACTTGTCATACACTCAAAATCCCTGAGATGCGGTGGGCGTGGCTGCGTACCCGAATTGAGTGTAGCTGAGAGTTTCGTGAGATATATGGATTTGGTGACCGGTTGTAATCATGTCTTCGTGCAACACAGAATAAGATGACAGTTGTATCAAAATGAAAATTCCCAAAATTCCCACGAGTAACCCACCCTATGCCATGTTCGAACGCCACGCCTACTCCGCCTCCGGGATAAGGAGTGTAGGTACTAGTCGCATAGTTTTCCGATTATAGCTGACCGACTCACGCCTACTCCGCCCCAAGATGGAGTGTTACCGGTCCGCATTTATCCGACTAGTCCTAATCCACTGTCTGTGGCGTCTAAATGAATGTATTAGGTCATCCCATCCAAAAATTTGGAGACGCAGCAGCGTTTCCAGCGTCCGGCAGCGTCGGTGACTACGAAAGTTATCGTTTGCCAGCGTTCACCAGCGGCCGGTAGGGGAGTAGCAAACAGCTCGATTAGGGTCGTGAAATCGCGGCGTGTGCAACCGCACCGAATAACTGCACTACACCGTACATTAAATTGCATAAATCTGTGGTTTAGTAGTTGTGCGGTGCGGTTGCGCACGCCGCGTTCCATGACGCCTAATCGAGCTGCTTGCTACCCTCCGACTTCCCCGCACTCTCTACGCTGGTAAACGCTGGTGAACGCTGGTAAACGCTAGATCGATACCCATACTTCCCTAGCCCTCGAGACGCTGGTGAACGCCGATGAACGCTGCCGCAAAGTATGAACGCGGCCTAACGTGCCGTGAAATAAAGTGCTTCCATTCTGAGTAAATGAAATGTAGAATTAAAAAATTCCCTCTACGGTGTAAACCTCGATCAGAGCTTTGTTCCAGATAGCCGGCATTCAACGAAAACCGTTCAAAATGTCGCGCAAGAGGCGAGAGCGAAGATTTTCAATCAACTTCATCTTTTGTATAGGTGCGTTGACCTGTAGCACATTTACAAAGTCTTTCCAGAGCTAGAGAGAAACTTTCTTTCTAATTCAGTCCCTGGTCATCCTGTCTTATCGAACTAGCAGCTTGTAATTGATTACTCCAATAAGGCTAGAGACTTTACTAGTCGCCAGTCCCCTAATCCTCCTCAATGGATTCGTTGCACACATCCACATGAACACTTATTTGCAAATTTATTTTATATTTTGGGAGCATCATTGCGTTTTGAACGTACTCGGAAGAGATTTTACATGTGCGAATGGAGAAGGTCCAGTGGCAAGTGGTCCTGACCACGTGCATGGCCTGGTTGTCAGACTTCGAATCGACTCATGCTCATGTGAATTATCCTTTTATCCCTTTACGAACGGCCTAGTTGGCGCTAGATTCGCCTTCGAACATGCAGACATTGGCGTTGCTCGCGTAGGTCGTTTCATAGGTCACGTAAAATTCAAAACACCGTTGTTAGAATTGGGAATGCGTGGAGCATTCCGACGAAGGTTTGACCAACGCAGACACAGTCTTGTTTAGTGTGAATGCCGGAGCGTGTCAGGGGCTGAAATTGGCGCAGCGCTAGCCCCTTCCCACAAATTTTTGACGTCTTATCCCGTCTGAAACTGGTAAGGACATGACCGGAGCAGCGCCAAACCCCTCTGACACGCCCCAGCATCCGCAGCGAACAAGACTATTTCATTCCGTTTATGCTCTTACACTATATTGTGTTCAGTGCAGATCAAGTTCACACATCTCTTCACTTCCACTGAGAAACACCACTCTTCTTGTGATGAGAATGTAGACAGACTGCACACTCACCTCCGGAGACGGTCCTGTGCGAGGCGAATAAGTCCGCAACTGCAGTGTGGCATGTGCTCTGCTCAAAACCT